TTAAAAAAAATAAATAATAATAATGATAATAATAATAATAACATTAATAACATCACAAGACGAGACAGGCAGATAAATGAAGAAGTAAGAGCAGCTATCGGCATTGAGTCCTGCCTGCATTACACAGAAAGACAGAATATAAGTGGTTTGGCCATCTGTAACGTATGTCACCTGGCCCACCAGCCTCGAGAGCCTACAACACCAAGCACCCAGGCTGTGAAGGAAAAGGAAGGCTGCGCAAAAGGTAGATCGAGGGTGTCAAAGAAACCCTGAGAAAACATAATATCACAACTGAAAGAGCTGCGGAGCTGGCCAACCATAGAAAGCTGCACCTTCCCTCGACGCTTAAAACGGCAACAGAGGATGAAAAAGTAAAAGTAAAGTAAGGTAAGTAATAACTGCATCCACATAGCGCTTATCCACGCTCTACAGTCTGCTCAGTGCCTTTTAATTTTAAATTATTATCACCTTAGCAAACCCATAACACGACTCCGAAACATTTTCAGCTTTCCTGGAAGCATACAGTACAAGCTGCAGATAACATGCACTAAAACACAAATAAACTGGCAAGATCTTTCGCTGTCCTGTTACCGGGTACTCATTCCCACTCGGGTGAAGTGGGCAATATTCGTATGAAGTGCCTTTCCCAGGGACATAACGTCGGGGCCCAAGTTGGATTCGAGCCCACTCCCTGACGGTTGAGAATACGAACGCTTGACAACCATTCTTGTGCTCTCGAAAAATGAAGGCCAGTTGAAAGAAATGCAAACAAGAGACAGCATTCAAGGTCTGGTTTGATAATTCAAGTACTGAAAGGTTCTTTCTTCACTAAACCCACCTGAGGGAAAGCAGTTTGCCAAACTCGTGCTTTCACTCTTCATGTGCATTCACTGATATTATATGTACAATCTTGTATCCCTCAACTTTCTTTACAACATATGATTTTGTGCTGCCAAACGTGTCTCAAAGACAGGGGAAAGAAGTAGTTCGCTAACTGAAAAACTCTCTCTCTCTCTCTCTCTCTCTCTCTCT